GAATGCTGAATCTGAAGGCCGTCAGTCGGAAGCCAAAGTCTGGAGTGTTTTGATGAATCAGATTTGGGGTGGTCTGTATGGATATTGTTACGGTGCTCCCGATCTCAAAGAGGTCCGTCATCTATCTCGACTTCATTACATCTCTGCATAACTAACCTACGTTATGGTCACAGGCATTAACGCCGGAGTTTGCTCAAATCCTCTCCCAATTACTTTACAGTCAAGAAGAACTTCGACCTACCGTTCTCAAAGCATTGAAGGTTACAGCAGAGTCAAACGTGGCTCTGTCTTCGAGAGATGAAACAAAGATGGCAAAACTACCCGAAGCTGTTCGGGCAGATCCAATCTCCCAAGAACTCGCGGCGGCCAACGTTGCATTTTTGAGAACGCAAGTGGAAAGTTGGTTAGCTGTTCTTTTTAATGTATTCAGTACCGTAGGGAGGAATGGCCAAGGAATGGTTGGAGATGCTATCAGTGTGTGGGCTAGTCTCGCCGAAGAGAAGGTTTATCCTATACTGCTTGGCGGGTCATAAAATATTGACGTTCGCTATTTTCCAGGAAATCAGCAAGGCTTACAAGAAGCTCAGTAATCTCTTGAAGCAGAATCTCGCTAAGGCTCAAGCTGCGGCAAACGGGCCAAAGGATACTGAAAGCATTACAGCGATGACTTTAGATCTCATCCTTCTTATGCTCCCCTTCCTTTCCACCAAGGATGCAACTGCTCTCTTCCAATCATGTCTCTCTGCTGAGATTCTTGAAAGCAAGGACAATGCTGTTCAAAAGAGAGGTTACAAGATCCTAGGTAAACTTGTTGAAAGTGGCAAAGTTGCTATCGATGCAGAATCGGTCTTGCAGAAATTGGAGAAGCATTTGGATGGACTGTCCGCTGCTGCGAAGAAAGTACGTCTTCCACCTCAAAGCTTGATTTTCCTGCGAGACTAATATTGTGGTTAGGACCGTATTGTGCTCTATAGTCTTTTGGTTCCCCTCCTTCCTCCCACCAGCATGCACGTTATTCCTTCCTTGATTCCAGAGGCTGTATTGGGCACCAAAGAACCCTCCGAGAAGGCGAGGAATGCTGCTTTCGATTTGATTGTAGCAATGGGCAGGAAGATGTCTGAGGGTGGTGTCGTCAAGAGGAATCTGGTGGATGGTATGGATGAAGATGGTTCTGGTGAAGGTAAATAGCCTCACAAGGTGCTTTTTCTTATCTCTAACTGTTGTTTTTCACAATTAGTAGCGAAGGCGAGCATCGAGGAATACTTGACTATGATCGCTGGTGGTTTGGCTGGTGCTACACCGCACATGATCAGTGCTACAATCACCGCCATTTCAAGACTAGTGTTCGAATTCAATGGTAAATACCTGTTTCCATTTATTCTATTTGACTGGCTCACAAGTCTTTCCTTAGATTCGATCTCACCACAAATGCATACTGAAATCTTCTCCACACTCCTTGTCTTCCTTACCTCCGCTAACCGCGAAATCGTCAAATCCGCTCTCGGCTACATCAAACTCGCTATTCACACAATGCCAGTCGAGCTCTTGCGCCCACACTTGAAGGATATTGTCACTGCTCTTTTGAGTTGGTCTCATGATCACAAGAATCACTTCAAAGCGAAAGTTAGGCATATTTTCGAGCGTTTGATTAGGAGGTTTGGTTGGGAAGACGTTTATGCTGTTGCACCTGAGGAAGACTCGAGAAAGGTTTTGTTGAATATCAAGAAGAGGAAAGATAGAGCCAAGAAGAAGAGGCAAGCCAAGAACGCTGATGACGAAGATGGAGATGATGTGGTGAGTTAACTCCCTTCTTTTGAATATTACTAAGCCCTAAATGCTGATTGCTGACTTTCCACTAATCTTAGCCCTCGTCGAAACCAGTTGCTGGTGATGCGTTCGAAGATGTCTTGTATGGAAGTGAGAGTGAGTTGGAGGACAGCGATGACGAGATGGAGACTACACAAGCCAATCGGAAAGGAAAACCCAAGGGTGACTCCGGAAGTCGTCTTCGTGTGGACGACGATGAGCCTATGGACCTATTATCAGGCGTCGCTTCCCGTATCACAAGTATGTTCATAATTCACATCGTCATCCTCATATCTCATTAATGATCAATTTGTCTCTCAGATGCGAAGAATCAAAAACGACGAAAACCAGGTCAAGAAGCATCTAAATTCAAGACTGATGAAGATACTGGTAAAATGCTCATCGACGAAGAAGAAGAAGATAATGATGGTGGTATGGAAGAAGATGTCACCGGAACAGCATACCGAGAAACCATTACCTCTGCGGACGGGTTCACTCGTGGACCTAATGGAAAGATCAAATTCAACAAGGATAAGAAGAGGAGACGAGCTGAAGCTGACGATGATGTGGAGATGGGGGATGTTGAGGAGGGTGGCGGTACCAAGAAGTCGAAGAAAAAGGCTGAACCCACGTTTGGACGTGAGTTTAAAGCCAAAGTGAGTCTTTTATCATTATTTATTTTTCGGTGTGTCTCTGAGCATGACCTATCCTTCGTTTTCATAGAAAGCAGGAGGTGATGTTAAAAAGGGTGGCGTTGATCCTTACGCTTACCTTTCATTGTCACAAGCTGCAAAGAAAAAAGGCAGAAAGGAACGAATTGGTGTTGCAGGAAAGCGATGATTTACTACCGGCTACTACCGTCCCTGCTTTATATTCTGCATGTTGTCTATTGAGCTTGTATTTCAATTCTCATTTCTATTTTGATTCATCTACTTTCGTTTGCCTGGTCCTTAAGCTTGAAGCTGAGCATGTCAGTAAGTCTCACTATTGAGCATATACCGGCTGATAAGGTGAGTTCTCACATTTTATGCGGATGGCATTTGTTGACAAGTAAATATGTTGAAACAGGCGACTTTAAGATTTTTAGAACACTCCCCATGCATATGTCACTACTGTTCTCATTCCTATGTCCTTCTCACAGTGGGTGAGGAACAACATTTTTGGCCACAGCAGTGACTCCAGCTACCCCGTCTACTATGGGAATCGAAGTCGCTCAATAGAGCACCTATTCGCGATCCATGAAAACATGAGACTTAGCGGAACACAGGAAGCATCGGAGGATTTATGTTGAGCATAAACACTGGTGGAACCCAGAACGACTACCATCACCTCCCCCATCTTCTCATTGTCCATGTCTTCTGCCAATGCCCCCAAATTTAATATTGCCATATGGTAAGTACATTGCCCATACCTTCGACTGCACATAGTCATAAGAACTCAATATATCATTGTAAAATATCAGTGGCGGAGGGATAGGTGGACTTTGTCTTGCTGTTGCACTTTCACACTATCCCGACATCAAAGTTGATGTATATGAAGCGACAGAAAGGTTCAAAGAAATCGGAGCCGGTGTAATGTTTTGGGATAGAACTTGGAAGATTCTGGCTAAACTTGGATTGACCAACGATATGAAGAAAGTAACTCATGTTGCTACTACAGGAGATGGAAGCGAAGGTAGGATAAACCTCTCTTTAAGATGCTTTACTTACACTATGTTTCATTTTTAGGGATCGGGTTTGATTTTCGTCGATCTGATTCACCTCGAGAAGGATTTCAATACCATCTCTTTTCAATCCCTAGTACGTGTTTACATTCAATTTCCTCTAACGGACTGATATATGACTCTGACAACAAAATAGATGGTTGTTTTCGATTCCACCGGGCCCACTTTCTAGACGTCTTCGTCGACCATCTACCTCCCAACATCGCACACTTTGGAAAACGACTGAAATCCTACAATGACCACCCAAAATCTGCTTCAGTCGGACTTCAATTCGAAGATGGGTCAACGGCCTTGTGTGATCTGCTTGTCGGATGCGACGGGATAAAATCGACAGTCCGAAAACAGATGTACGAAACTAAAATTGCGGAAGGACAACCACATCTTTCTGCTTTTGTTGATCCCGTCTGGAGTGGTGCATTCATTTATAGGTCACTCGTCCCTGCGGAACAACTTCGTAAGAAGAATAGCTCCAATAGAGCTTTAGAGATTCCTACGATTGTAAGTGGTTATATCTATCGTTACTCACGGCCGACTTGATATTTATTTCCTAACATCTGGTTTATTGGCAGTACTCCGGAAAAAGTCGAGTGAGTATTTTATCTCAATTAGCATTGAAGTTTTGTGACTGAATTCATCTCTATCAGCACCTCATAAGCTACCCCGTAGCAAGTGGGAGCATTGTGAACGTGGTTGGAATCAAGACCAACTGGGAGAAAGAAGATACTGTATACAAAGGACCATGGGTAACTGCATGTTCTGCCGAAGAATTCCGTGAAAACTATTCTGGATGGGAACCTGAAGTTACAGAATTACTTTCCGTACGCCTTCCATTATATTATTTATGTTGAGGTTGAATCGTGGTTGACGTTTGTATACACTGTCCTATTTTTCTACAGTGCGTAGGGGAAACATCCAAATGGGCCATTCACGCATTAAGACCTCTCCCATTTTGGGTTTCTGGAAGAGTTGCATTACTCGGTGATGCAGTATGTCTTCTTTTCCTACGACAAGGGAATTGTATTGATCAATTGTACACACTTTAAAGGCTCATGCGATGACAACCCATCAGGGTGCTGGTGCTGGCCAAGCAATTGAGGTATGTTTCCTACCTCCTTCAACTCATCTTACCTTACTATTTTCTTTTCAGGATGCTTTCGTACTCGCCTCACTTCTTGGTAGAACATGTGTCACCCGCGAGAACATCCCAAAGGTACTTCAAGCCTATGAGGCAGTACGCCTGCCTTTGGTAAATGAAGTTCTCCGTGGATCCAAGTTTGCTGGGAGGATGTATGAGTTTGACAGTTTTTATGGGGACGACTACGCTTCGCTTGCTTCAGCAATCAAACACCAGTGGGATTGGTTGTTCACTTCTCCACCAGAAGAGGCTATTCAAACGGCACTAAAGATGATACATGATGTACAACATATGGCCAGACTCTGACAATGTATATGGTTGGGATACTATTGTCAATCCCTGGTAGTATATCGGCTAGTACACGCGCCTGTCATCTTGACCAATCGGTTACGGTATGGACGCGCGAAAGCGGGGTTCGACTCCCCGCCAGGGAGGATGTTTTTTTTGTCGGGTTCGCTCTCTCTGTTTGCTCTTCGGCCTTCTTTTTACACGAATGCCATTTGTGTAGACGTAGATTATGAATTTGAACACAAGTGTTTATTTTAAATGATTATACAAGTAAGTAATGGGCCATGTCGATCACTGTTGTTGCTTGAGTTTCTGAACAAGCTCTGGGACAACTTCAAAGAGATCCGCAACTAGCCCGACATCGGCTACTTGGAAAATTGGGGCATCTGCGTCCTGTTTCGACACATTAGCTCAGTTCATTGTGCAAGCTTGAAAATTTCCTTACCTTGTTCACAGCAACAATCAACTTCGAGTCCTTCATTCCAGCCAAATGCTGAATGGCACCTGAGATACCCAAGGCCATATATAGTTCGGGAGCCACAACCTTTCCAGTCTGACCAACTTGCAACGAGTTATCTGCATAACCAGCATCAACAGCAGCACGCGATGCTCCAATAGCAGCACCCAAAACATCGGCCAAAGGTTCTAAGGTAGCATTGAAAGTCTCTGCGTTCTTTAGAGCACGACCTCCGGAAACGACACGACTGGCAACACCTAAATCGGGTCTGTCAGACTTGGTGATTTCAGTCTTGACATGTTGGGTTGGCGAATCAACTTGAATAGGTTCCACATCTTTCACTTCAACATCTGACCCTTCATCCGCGGCAGCTTTGAAAGCGGTCGATCGAACAGTGAAGAATTTGATTGGGATTGATGAAGGTGCTTTTACTGTAGCAATAGCGTTACCAGCATAGATGGGTCGGGTGAAAGTGGTAGAATTGGATGCACCATCGTGTTGAACTGAGGTGATATCTGAAACGGCAGGAACGTCGAGCTTGGCGGCAACTCGAGGCAGGAGGGACTTTGCGGCGGAAGAGTGTGCAGAAACGACATGAGTGTAAGGTGAACCGCTAGCGAGCAACTTCTCCAATAAGGGAGAGACGACTTCCGGTACTGGAGCAGCGTATTGAGGTGCCGAAGCCTGAAGGAGAGCATTCAAGCCCTTTAACCTGTCAATAAGAAAATTAACAAGGTAAGAGAACGCATATTGACATTGTTTGAACAGATAAATTCCCTCACTTCTTCGCCTTTGGAACAACAGTCTGGAGTTGTTCAGGGCCTCCAACAACAAGTCCAGTGACCTGACCACCTAATTCTTGGGCTGCAGCGAGTGCTGAAAGCGAACCAGAGTCGATAGCTCCGTCGCGATGTTCCAAGAAGACTAGAGCATGTGGACCAGCCGCTGTTGCATACGTCCTGGAGATGAGCCTTGTGTTGAATACGGAACGTGCTCTGAGCATTATTACAGACTTGAATGGTGGTGGTCAAGAACAAAGAGTAGGAGAGGACCCCCGACGGAATTGCAAGGCAGTCGGTATACTCCCGGCATTTTCTCCACCTTTTGGACCTTTACCGGTAGCCGGATTCATACCCATCGCGCCTAAGCGCCGTTAAACGCATCTTCTACCTTCAACTATATAGGCACATTTTCAACAATGCCAAGTCGTTTCCGATTACTATTGACGTGATAGTTGCTCAACATTAATCGTTAACATAGCTTTATACTGAGAGTATTTACTTATGCATAATTTATGCAAGGTCACGGTACGAGATTCTTCAGCTATTATCGTCATATTAATCATAATGTCAATTCCAAGTCATTTATTCTCCTAGTTCAAAACCTCAAGTTGTTTTATAGAATCAGAGAAACTCTCAATCAAATAGTACAGCTTACTATGACATTGCTCGATAGCTGATGTAGGACCCAAGTTGAAAATACAGTGCTCGTCCTCTACCCTCAGTGCTCAGTGGCTCCAACTCGAACTATTCTCCTTCTTTCACAATTACCGGGTCTGCCTAAGGAATTTCACAACTACTCTCTGAGGGTGGCATGAGGACTGCACGGTATGTTTTCAACCTTAATATATGGTTTCCTCATATTCCATGCAAGAGAGCAGAAGTCACCTATTGAAAATGGGGTGAGGGGATTACGTCGAACGCAGAATGTTTCACTATTGGAAGATGTACACAGGTATCCATCGGTCGATGGTAGCAATATATACTGTTAACTGGAACTGAGCGTAAACAGCTATGCACCCGTAACACACGGCAATGCAGCGGAGCTCACCCATGCAGTGAAGGCAGGCAAAGCAGGAGATGATGGTACTGTTGTTCTCCGTAAGTCCATGTTATCGTAAACAATGTGAGACTAATGTCTTTTGACAGTTGTCTAACATCAACTGCTAGATGATGATTGTGTCTATCTTTTTGATCCTCATGGTGCTCCAAAATTGACAACTGACAGCGGATTTTCGATGGGGGGTACGGGGATTTTTCAAAACATGAAGCTTCAAGACTTCATCGTGGCTCGTTTCACTGATCAACGAACTCCAGGTGAAGACATCATTTTACTCTTGATTATACTCTGACAATGACTGACCTTTCGCGGCCGCGGCAATGCAGTTCGACACGCCAGTCACAGGTGGTATTTACGGTCCAGGTACAACACCAATTGACGTGCCAACCTCACCGCATCCTATAGTAACATCCAGGGTCTTTCGACGTATCGTGGAACTGGTCACTAAGCAGATAACTGGCTTTTCGAGGCTTGAGGCCTTGAGGATACGCCCGACGAACTTTCAAGTTTGTAAGAGAATTTATTATCTTCTCCGATTACCCATGCAGATAAACCGGTGTCACTCGTGATGCATTCCTACTGTGATACAGCTTCATGGCTGTATATAGCATCGACATCGTCTTTCTCGCTGGTTACATGTTCTCATTCATTTATGCTACAATGCCTCTGAGTACTCACTCCTGGTTCTATCTTTCTATCCTTCGGTTTGCCTCTTTGATTGCATCTCAGGTCCAGCTCAATCCGAATGATTTTCTTATTCCTATCTCTATTCGTTCACCATACCTCAATGCATGGAGTAGAGGAAATTCTGCTATGAATACCACTGAGAGCTTCTGGACAGGTCAAGTGAGTTGGTCTATTATTTTGAAGCCAACATACTGATATTATCTAAGGGTCGTGCATGGATAGGGCACATAAGAGTGGATGGACAAACTTTTCAATGGGTTGGGGATGCTCCAATCAATTCGACAAATTTCACAGGGGTCCAGGTGACTCCGACGAAAACTACCTTCTTCTCGCAAGCTGGTCCAATGAATATTACGGCCACATTCCTTAGTCCCATAGAGGTGTGTCTTCTTTAAACAATCCTTCTTCCGACACTGCAACTCAACATCATGTTCACAGCCTCAGGATCCTGTCAAGCAGTCCCTACCATTCTCTTACCTCTCGTTTGAGGCTGTCTCAACTGATGGTGCTGAACACAGCGTGAACGTGTACAGCGACATCTACGGAGGTAAGCATATATTCAAGAATCATTGTATTGTCCACAGGGAATTCTCTCTTACGATCTGACTTTTTCTTACAGGTTGGGTGTCTACGAATGGTAGCAGCATCATCAACTGGAACACGACACAAAATGCGGGATCTACATTCCACACAATATCGCTGCAGACACCTCGTCCATATACCGAGCTTGATGACCAAGCAGAAGATGTGACCGTGTATTATGCTGCGCCATCTGTAAGTTTGTTTTCTTTCGAAGCAAGATCACAACTGTATGATCATGGCCAATAGTCACCCGGCCTCACTTCAGACATTGGGTCCAATGGTGCAAGTCCCCGCATCGTATTTGATAATCAAGGGTTTTTGACCAATTCAGCTGGTGAAGGATCTGGAACTATTGCTAAGTACATATTCAATTCAATCTGAGTTCAACTTACAGTAACTGGGACTTATTCCATTTTTTATCATTTTTGTAGTCCATTTCCAGTCTTCGGTCACGCAGTTGACTTAGGAAATATCACCCACACTGCATCCCCCATTGTCTGGGCTTTAGGGGTCGTCCGAAACCCGTGTATTCAATACACGACACCCGATAACCAAATACAAAATCGTAGTCCCTACTTCGCTTCTCAAGGAGATACCATTGATGAAGTTGTCAGTCTTTCCACCCCCCTAGGCCTCTTTTTCCATGATTAATATACTTACTCTGTATCGTCTATGGAGCAGATCGATTCAGTACTGAACGACTTCACCTCGGCTTCCCAACGAGCTGACGCTCTTGACAAGAAAATACTTGATGCAGCCTCGTCTATTACTTCTAACCCAGCTTATGCCGGTCTGGTTTCTTTTGCTATACGACAAGCTTGGGGTGCCTCGGAATTGACCCTATCTCTTGGTAATGATGGAACTTGGAATAAAAGTGATGTCAAAATGTTCATGAAAGATGTTGGAAGTAGCAGGTAAGTGATAGTCTTTTCTTGACCCATCATCATCTTTCTAAACCACCCGCATTCTCATTGGTATCTCATCTCATGGCTCTTTTATCGTTGTCCACCTCAAGACGAGTCAATGCAGTTGAGACACTCTACGCTGCTCTCCCCGCATTTCTATATGTCAATGCGACATATGCTGGGTATCTTCTCGCCCCTCTATTGGAGTATCAGGATTCTCTATTGTATGGTCAGCCGTATTCCGCAAGGGACCTCGGTAGGTTACATCGTCTCGACCTTCAGTGAAGGATACTCACGGGGATATTTTTCAAGGTCAAGCATACCCAATTGCCTCTGGCAATAACGCAGTCCATCCACAGGGCGTTGAGCGTAGATGTTTCAGTTGTCTCATTTCATGAAGTTTAACAACTGAGTATATTGGTATGGTAGAATCTGGAAATATGTTGATCATGGTTCTCGCCTATACACGTATAGCAGGAGATGGTACGCTCATTGATCGACACGTAGGTTTCTTCTTACATAGTTGCGAGAATGAACACTGATATTGTACTTGGTTATACAGTACAATTTGTTGAAAGAATGGGCTGATTATCTGGTCAGTAATACTCTTACACCAACTGACCAGTAAGCCTTCCTCCTAATTCATCTTTTATAAATGAGTTGACATTATCTCGTC